TTTCTCTTTCTCGCGTTCTTTCCAATGCTTTGTCTCGCTCGCACTCGCTTAGTAGACGCGCCTGCGCATAATGACGCTCGACTATCTATCCCCATATTTGGACTTCGTGCGTCTCTCTTTCTCGGGCCTCGTGCCTCTCATTGCGAAGATACGTGACTAGCAATATAGAAGTATTATATATATGTACCAAATAGAGTATTTATAAAACTCTATCTGATAACCAATCAACATACTTAAAATCGTTGTCGTACGACAAATGTAATATTAGCCTGATACAACTTTCAAGGCTATAAGCATTAACAAAAAACATTAATAAAATTGATAATAATAAGAAATTTATTTATAAAAAATAAGTCATACAATTTTTTATAATAAAATACTAAAAACTTATAATTAAAAGTTACAAAAAATATTTAAAATTTATAAATTTTGGTAAAATAATTTAAATCTTGCCTCATATATTAAAATACGTGTTTTTTAAACATTTATTGCTTTATAGTTTTATTATTATTGTTTAATAAATTGTTATTTATTTCTCTGGACTATATTATATATTATACTTGGCTAAAGATGATTAAAATAACTTAGATTCCTAAATAGCCAAATGTGAAAACTCAATAAAAAGCAAATCATTGTATAGATTAAGTTGCTTGCCAATTGCCATTGTTGTTTTTATTTAATGCAACGAAAATGTTTTTGTCAATTCAGTATCAATATGCTAAGTTTTATTGTCAATCAATTGTAACCAATATGACAAGTGAGTCAGTAATATGTGAGCAATATGTGAGAAATGATTTTTATTCATAAGTTAAGAAAAATAATATAAGTTTATTGCCGATGATAAATCCAGAAGCAAAATAAGGACCCAAAGCCTATAGTCCACTGGTGGCGGTAGTGAGTTAAATAAGTGGACTACAGGTTTTAAGGTCTTTATTTTGCTTCTGAATACACCTATTTTTTTTGCATATAATTTCCAGATTAGAACCGCGTTAGTTATTGATTATAACAGTTTACTCATGCTCTATTAATCTCTGAGTTGTTGGGAACTTGCTGTTATTATATTTTGAAAACTGTTGCTGGCAAGAACATACTGAAAAGAGGATACACCCTTTTGTTATATTACTGAAAACTTATGAGCAATATTTGTGGCAAGTTGCCAACAACTTGTACTCAGTTGGCTATCTGGGTTGTTAACATACCCAGTAAGCAAAATGCGCGCAATATGCTAGCAGATTGGCAACAGATATACTCAAAAGTTGCGAGCAAATTGGCATCTGTTGTGTCCGCATTAGGCTTACGATCTGCTAGCAAAGCCTGCTCACAGAATCTGATAGCAGATTGATAGC